CAGCGACATGCATGTATTCGACTTGGCAGCTCTTCGCCGTGCCATATGTACCTGGTGGTGGACGGTCAGTGGCCTGCTGCAGCATCCCAAACACCACAGCGGTGGGACGCGATTCTGCCGGACGGTCGCGGCGAGGCCCTAGCGGGCGCCTCGGTGCCGGAGAGCTTCCAGTAAGTACAGCAACAGTCCGCACGGGTGCAATCCACGCAACTTTCAGAATGTTGGGTGTTGGTTGACATCAAGCTGTGGATACTGTTGCCACATGTTAAGGTTTTGTCCTGTTCTTGGACGAATCAAAGGCTAGTGTTTTGAGAGTTGTTCGGGTGTAAGGAACTCGACTTTTGCGTTCAAACTCGGCGTCGAAGTAGGCGGGGCTTCGATCATTTTGCACACTTCCGTTCAATAATATGTTAAAATAGTTTGTTAGCAACTGAATAACGTGTCAAGGCAATCCACGTACCTAAAAGGCGCTGCTATTTACAAACGACGCCAGCCTGCGCATATCTAAATCGGGACGTGTCTATCTCATGCGTGTAAAAAGAACTGCGCTATATATTGTTATGGCTTTACAAGGCCTGTCCCGATCTTCAAGAGCGACCAGCATTCATAATTCCCCAGAGGAACAAAGCCACGAACCTTTAGGTGGACCATCGTCAAACCAGAGGACCGCACGTGGATTCAGATACCAGACGACAGGACGACTCACGGTCCACGGGAGCTGATCTGTTCATGACAGATGACACCCAAATTCCAGGATAGCCTGCACCGCCGCTCACGTAATTGGTGGTTCGTGACATCATCTCCTGTAGTTCGGGTTTTGTCCCCCTGTTGTACATACTCTTCCTTGACGCTCCTGAGCACCTGTTTGTGCAGTTCTGCCAGCGCCTGCTCCTGCTCCTTCTCCTGGCTCCTGGCACGGAGCCCAACGGGCCGCGCCGCTGCCGGGTGCTCCCGACGAGCGATTAAGCCAGATCGACACGGCGGCGGCCGCGTTGCCAGCACTTCCCGGAACCGGCGCGCCGCCAGGGGCAGCGGCGTGCCAAACAGCGGCCCGTCTCGACCGCGCCCGGCCGCCACTACCGTTCGGAGGGGTGGCTGGCGCCGGCAACAGGGTCTGCTGACGGCTGAAGCCCGCAGCAGGGTCCTGCTGAACAGTACAACGCCGGCAGCAGGGTCCGCTGAACGGTACGACTTCCCAAGCAGGGTCTGCTGAACGTAACGACGTCCCGCATGCAGGGTCTGCTGAACGGTCCGACACCCGCAGCAGGGTCTGCTGAACGGGTCCGAAGCCGCAAGCCGGGTCTGGTGAACGCACGACGCCGGCAGCAGGGTCTGGTGAACGATCCGACGCCCGAAGCAGGGTCTGCTGAAGGTCCGACGCCGCAGCAGGGTCTGCTGGAACGGTCCGAAGCTCGCAGCAGGGTCTGCTGAACATACAGACGACCGGCAAGCAGGGTCCGCTGAACGGTACGACCCTCACAGCATGTCTGCTGAACGGTACGACTCCCACATCAGGGTCTGCTGAACAGTCCGACGCCCGCAGTAGGGTCTGTGCGCAGGGGTGTGTCACTTTGTGTACCTTCGGGGAGGCCTGATCGATCCCCCAATGCTTGCTTACTTGAGCTGCCTTACCCTAACAATGTATGCGAGCAAACAGGGAATACTGGGCCGCTAAATGCAACAAGTGTCTGAATTGGTGGCACACTTAGCATCAAAATGCATCACTAGCAATATCGCCATCATTTAGCGTCGGCTTCAAAGGAGAAGCCATTCCTCAACATCAACACATATTGGAACAGACGAAATATTTATTTTCGAATTTTTAGTTTCTTTGATCAAGGACGAAAGTCGAGGTGGCCGCATTGTCAGCTGTTTGCTCGAGAGTTTAGCGGCGGTCAGATGTCTGTTGGAGGGTGTGGCAGGCCCATGCGTCTGTAGGAGGACGTATTGGACGGTTGGGCGTCCGCAGCAGGCTTTGGTGGATAAGGATAGGTACGCGGGGATCTGTTGGATGAGGATACGTACGTGAGGATTTGGTGGGTGCGGATATGTGCGCGAGCGAGGATCTAGTGGATGAGGATACGTACACGAGAATTTGGTGGGTGGGGATATGTGCGCGAGGATCTGGTGGATGAGGATACGTAAGCGAGGATCTGGTGGATGAGGATACGTACGCGAGGATCTGGTGGATGAGGATACGTACGCGAGGATTTGGTGGGTGGGGATATGTGCGCGAGGATCTGGTGGATGAGGATGCATACGCGGGATCTGGAGAACACTCCGGCGTACGGAGTAGGGTTTGGTGGGCCATCAGACGTCCCGTGCGTCTGGGAAACCTGAGGCATGGGGTCGACTCCCCGCGGTGCTCCTCCCTCCTGCCAGGGTCAAGGCACGCGACGGCACACAGCCTCAGCAGGCTGAGCACCCCATAAAGCCCCACGGCCAGTAGCATCCCTTCATGTACTTTCGGAGCCTGAGCCCCCACTAATTCGGAGGCCTGCAGGATGTGTAGTAGACAGCCAGAAGTCTCCAGAAATCTGGCGGACCGTTCAGGCGTCTACAGGACGGTGTGGTGGACGGACAGACGTCTGGAGGAGTTTGTGGGACGGACAGACGTCTGGAGAAAGGCCTGGTCGACGGCCATACGTTGGAGGAAGGTCTGGTGGACAGACAGACGTTTGCAGGAGGTTCTGCACGCCACCCTGCCGTCGATCAGATATTCCGAGCCTGCCGGAACTGGCCCATCTGTAGCACGCATGATCGAGAACAACTGGGCATTCTAAATAAAGCGCCATCGGAGCCGGATCCGACAAAGACTGCTGGCATGCCCACCGCCACATCTGGCGCACGGTGCACCTCTCGCCCCATTTCACCGGAATGCTGCTGTCGATGAGACTTCAGTCGATCGCAGCCCACTCGCTGGGCATATCCGCAGACGCAGCCAGCTGACGACAAACGTTTGCGGACTGCTCAGCATGACTGCCAGAAGAGAAAACTCAGCGCCGCCTAACCCAGTTAGCCATACTTGTCGTGCAGGTTAAGCTAATCCTGCTTCTTCCTTGCGTCCAAAGATCTGTTGTTTCAGTAGCATCTTGACGCTTTCCTTTTAAGATGTCGTTTTGAGGTCGGGTTGTTCCCAGATTCTAGTTTAACTTCTCCGATCCTGATTTGTCTCCGTCCCCACCTCAAAGACGTTGTTAAACCCATACTTTCACCAACAGTGAAGACGCGTTCATAAAATATGGTACGCATTTTTTTGAAGACAATAAGATGCAGGCAATGTCAAGATCATGTCATGAAGGCATTGGGATGAACGGTGAACAGGTTGCTGGCAAGCATCCCATGGGTCGGTGGTAAACTTCGTTCCGAAAGGAGGGGAGGAAGTCTTGATGGAGCGTAGCAGAGGCATAGCGAGGGAGGGGGGGGGGGGGGGAGTTTTGGGCAGCGGACGTCATGCTTAGACGTGGGGCGCGAATCACGCTTAAATATCTTAACAGAAAATAAAATCTTAAAGCCAGACCCGGTCGTTTTTCTTTCCTGACAAGAAACACGACCGTTATTTGCTTCGCATATGTAGCTCAGCCAGGGGCTAAACGTTACTTTTATGGGACGTTACGCTTACAACAGCGTAACCAGGTAGAGGGGGTTGCCAGCAGCGCAACAATCGCGTAACAAGAAAGAGGAGAGAGGGTTTTAATCATTTCAAGTGATGTATAACGTGTTTTATGGATGGCCCCTTCGCCTGACATCGGTATAGACGCCACCACGTGACTGAAGGGGTACAGGACAAATCAGGATTGCGGTCACACTAAAATCCGGGCAGCCTGCCAAACACCGACGTTTTAAATGCGAAAGCGTAAGAAGCGCGCTCTACGGGCAACATTGTAAAGGGCATCTCATCTTTTAAAAGAAAATTGGTGGGCATGGTTCCTCAGCCCCTCCCCCTGTAGTTACACCCATGGATGATGGCGTTCGGAACAACATGCGCACCCCTTCCGTCCTTGAATTGCCGACAATCATCCATAGGCGGGCGAGCTACATACCGGGGCAGATGTGTTCCGGCCTCGTGAGCACGCCCGCGGCCATGACGCGAAGCTCACATAGCACAGCCACCGTGTGCGGGCATGAGAGTCATGCCTGCGATGATGCGATTTGCGCAGCGTCCGTACGGTATGCGGGTTGTGCAGAGTTATCCAGTGACGCGCGATGCGCGGTCACCTACGCCGCAGCTGCCGACCCGCCCGACAACGCGCCGCCGCACCCGCGGCAGCGTGACGCAGAGCAGCCGGCCGCCGGGCGCGAGCCGCCCGGTGCTGAGCACGATCCGCGCCGCCCGCCGCCATCACGTCCAGCATTCGCTCCGTGCCACGGCACTCTTGCAGATCCACAGGTCACCTCCAAACACCGCCTGGTTTTTTTTTGTTTATTACCAAAAAAAGTTCAGTACGAACGCTGACACAGAAGAATTTCTTCTCGACCAATGGCAACACAAACGAGTGACTAGTGCTCACTGGGGCGGCGCCGCCGCTGACACGATAACTGCATGGCATCAGCCGCGCGCGCCCACCCCACCCAACGCTGATTTCAAACAAATACAAAAAAAAAAAAAAAAAAAAAAAAAAATTAATTTATCAACGAAAAGCCGCTAGCCTGAGGCAGCCGACGGCGGCTCGCGCGCGCCGATCGCCGGAGAGCCACCGGCGCAGCGCAGAACGACCAGCCCGGCCCAAAACACCACATCGTACCGTTACCACCAACAGTTAGTTCGTCTCCCATTGAGCAAAATAAATCTTTTTGTATTTTTCCCGTCTGCCGCCGGCAAGACGCCTGCCGGGCGCGCAGACGCTGGGAGAGCCATACACGCGTCCGCCGCTGGGGCGGCCCGCCGGCGGCCGGGCGCCGGGCTGGGGCGGGGCGGGCGTCCTTCTCACAGGGTCACAGCCGTGGACGCCCCCGGTCGCCGCCGGGCCGGCTGGCCGCGGCGGCGCCGGCCGCGCCCGGTGCCCGCCGCCGGCCGGCTATGGAAGAGGTGGCGGCTCCGCCACCGCACAAAACGGGTCATGCGGGAGCCCGGGCGCCCGTGCGCCCGCTCGACGCCGGCGGACCGCTGTACACAGGTGATCCGGCGTCCGGACCTCTGACAAGGGCTATACATCGAGGCGGGTTCGGCGAGCCGGCCGGCCCGCCGTACAGAGTGCTGCAGCAGTCAGAGTACGCCCGAGAAGAGCTTCCGGAACACCGTCGAGACGTGTCTACAGAGACCCACCAACAAGGCACGTTTGTACAGTTCGAAGTGGCTGGACACAACAGGGAGCTTGTACCGCGACAACCCGACGGCCGCACTCTCCGCCGCCGCACGCATATATGTACAGACATATATAACTCCCGCTGGCTCGCTCGCCGTAACCAATGTCCTGCAGATGGCATCACACAACTGTCCGGCGGCGACACAGGCCGTTCGACAGGTAAAACGCTGCGCCCGCGCGCGCCGCTGCGCCGCCGCCTAGCCACTGGGCGAGGCGATGGCCGTCAGCCGCATGCTCTGCGTGGAGTGGAGACGCCGCTGCATGAGGCTGGACTCGAGCGGCGGCGACAGGCCGAACATGACGATCCCCTCGTCCGACTCGGCTTCGGCCTCGCTGCTGCTGGTCTCCTCATGGCGGCCGACGTCCATGGAGAGGTGGTGCAGCATGGCGCGGTTGAGCGCCATCGCCGACTGCGCGTAGAGCGAGAGGTCCTTGACGCTGCGGTTGCTGCGGATTACCTGCGGCGTGGTGAGCATGCTGGACGGCGCGCCGCCGTGGCGCACCCACGGGTGCGCCAGCACCATGTCGGCCGAGAGGCGCTTCAGCGGCTCCTTCACCAGCAGGTGGCGGATCAGGTCCTTGGCACCGTCGGAGATGTGCGCCCACTCGCGCTCCGGGAACTCGAACACGCCTTCGTGGATGCTGAAGAAGAGGAGGTCCCGGCAGCGCACGCACGCCTCGCCCCGCTCCCAGCCGCAGTTCATGCCGCAGTTGCCGTAGAACGGCGGGTAGCCCGACAGCAGGATGTACATGATG